TAACTGATTGTGAGAACAGAGCAGGGACGTACTACACGCTGACTGGTAAGATCAGCATTGGTGGAAAGTTGGACAATGACAGATATCCGCACATCAAGGTCGAAACATTCAGGGACTTTATGAAGAGTCGAGTAGGGTGAACTGCCATGTCTGTACTACCCTACTCTGAAAATAATAAGGGTTGATTCAACCATGGATAAAAGGAGACTGCCTTGTAGGGTCTATCTGCTCGCCCGTTTGATATACAGAGGAGTGTACGTATTATGTGTGATATCACGGGTCAGAACCTCCTCTTCTTCATTCAGGCTCAATGCAATCCGTCTCAAATGGCATATAATAAGATGTGCAAATCGCATCTTAATCCACCTCCTATGAGCGGAAGTCGATATCATTATCGGCACCTAATTCCCGAAAAGAAGGATGTTGAAATTTCCTCACGTTCTGCCTCACCCCTCTTCAAATTAAGATCTCCTCCTCGAAGAGGATGCTCACACAAATTTCATGGTCTCTGAATTATTCTCCCACCGAGAAAGTTCTCTATTGACTCAATGGATGCCAAACGTATCGCATTCACTGGTGGTAGCGGCAAGGTCGGGCAGCTGGTCGTCAGTGAGCTTGTCAAGTACGGGTACCAGATCATCAACCTCGATCTAGCCATCTCACCGAATCCAAGCGTGCATACTATGAAATGCGATGTCACCGATAGTGGACAGGTGTTTAGCTCTCTAAGCACCCACATGCGGGTGGGGGAGCCATTTCCAGCGGAATCACCCAAGGTCCCTGACGCAGTCATTCACTTCGCCGGCATTCCAACACCAATGATTTACTCGGACGGGGAGACATTCAAGAACAACGTGTTGGGGATGCATAACGTCATCGAGGCAGCGTGCAAGATGGGAGTCAAGAAGATCATCCTTGCCAGCAGTATTACCACCTATGGAGTCGCTTTCGGCCAAGGAAATATCGAATATCCCTCCTTTCCCATCACTGAAGACTTTGATGTCAACCCTACCGATCCATATGCCTTGTCCAAGGTATGCGGAGAAAAGATTGCGCGAAGCTACGCCACTCGCTTTGGTGTTGACATCTACTGTCTGCGGATCGGTCGAGTCTTTGGGCCAGATGAATACGACAGTGATATGTTCCATGGCTACGTCAAGGAGCCGGAGAACTGGTTCCAACATGGATGGTCATACACCGATGGCAGAGGTCTCGGGCAGATGTGTCATCGTGCAATCGAAAAGTCGGGTTTGGGGTTCCAGGTCTTCAATGCTGTCAATGACACAATCACAAATCACCACAATACTAAGGATCTGCTGACTCGATTGTATCCACACATTCCTCACACTACCGACATGGTACACATTGCGGCGCCAATCAGCAACCAAAAGGTCAAGACGCTCTTGGGATTCGTGGAGGAGCACAATTGGAGATCTTACTATTCAGGAGAGGGACAAGAGATCCACGAATAGGAGCTCTCGATCAACATCGGGATCACAACCATAGCGCTCTGCAAGTTCTTGTTGTCTCCAGAGAGAGGAACGGTGTTTCGGATCTCTCGACACGGGCTAGATGATAGGGGCTTGGACTCCGATCATCCTGGCTTAGCAGGTACAGAAAGCGTCATGTGCCATACTCAAGTGTCTCCTTTCACACAGCTCTCTTACCCATCGTCTCAAATGGCAAGGCCAAACTGAGAACGACCAACAGTCCAAAGAGTCCACCACAAACAAATAGCGGTGCCACCGTCTCCACATTAGCATATGAGCCGATGAGGACTCCACAGATACCACCAACTCTGTTCAAGACCACACAGATCGCATAGCCCGTAGCTCGATGAGCGGCCTAGTGGTTGCAAACGTCAGTATCTCGCTCAACAAAGTCTCATCAAAGATCAAAACATACCGGCAGAATTTCGGGTGTGTATGCGTAGATGGTTCCATAATAAATGTTGGAGGCTGCTGTGATGGCGCAAGAGATTCCCACGTTCTGCGCCGGCGTCCTGATTTGCGTATAGCCGAACTGCAAGGCAGTGGTGATTGCTGCTCCAATGGCGAGGGTGCCACGGCGACCGATGAGCCTAGTCTCAACCAAGACCGCTGCAATGATAGGACCAAAGAGGCCCGCCACTTGATTCAAGGCATAATTGCGCCAGACAGTATAGTTGGAGTTGGCCCCGACTTCAGCACCGCGTGACCTGAGATAATAAGGCAAGAAGACGCTATATAACGGACTGACCATTCCAATCACCACCCAATTGAGGATAATCATGACAGTCGAATACGCCAGCCGCCTAGTTTTGAACAATTGCGAGAAGTGCTGACCAAGCCTCAATGCCGAGAAGACGGATTTTTCGGTGTGCAGGACGCGACCCTCTCGTTGGAGTTTCTCTAAAGTCAGAGTGAAAGGCCGGTCGTACTTGTGTGAGATCTCGGCCAGATTCGCAATCACTTCAGCGTCACGGTTTTGAGAAATGAGCCATTTGGGCGTCTGAGGCATTCTGATGAAGAAGATCCGGAGAGATGCTAATACGAGGACAAGAGCGCCGCAGGTGAAATGCAGATATCGCCATCCCCAGTTGTCACTTCTCGTGCATTCTTCAACTGTCGCTTCCGGCGCACAGGAGTAGTTGCTCATATAGCCCCAAGCGAGGAACCCGGTGATTGCATATCCGACAGACCACCACACCGCCATGAAAGTGACCAACCAGGCATGCGACGAGGGTAGGAATTCGAGTAGATTGGTGGCATCTAGAATGTAGTTGCCGCCTGCACCTGCCGAATAAATCGCAACCATGGTCGAAAAGGAGATGTAATTGGGCATGGCACCAGCGATGAGGGTGAAGACTGCACATAGGAAGAGGCTTGAGTTGAAGGCAAGACGTCTACCGATAACATCGGCACTGAACCCCCAGAAAGCAGCACCAACCAAGAGGCCGACTTGTGACGCGAGGGCAACACCAGCGATGTGCCGACTCGGTCTGCCAAATTCCTGAGCGACCGCCGGACCAGCAATAGACTGGCAGACGATGAGAAGCTGGAGAGGGCCAAAGTCAGTGGTCTGAACCCTCTCATGAAGCAAGGGGAAAACAAGAGCAGACACTCACCGAATCAACGGCATAGCCAAACCCATTTAAATAGAACAATTTCCATTGGAACCCTGTCATGCCGATTTGGTCTAGAGCTTGGTTGGTCAAAGCCATCTTTTTGGCTAGCACTGGATCGATGGCAGTGCTATCATAAACCTCTTTTGCAAGATCGATGCTGTCTTCATCTTGATCAGACGAGTCTGGACCACGTGCTGCCTTGTGCTCGGCGATGATGCTGGCTCTTCTTTCCTCGGCGAGATGGAGGTCTGCATCGCTCTTGAGAGCTGGTGGAGGTGGAGGTGCACCAATTCCTGACATTTTGGTTAACCCGTCGATCGAAGGTCGTTAGATGAATGATCGGAAAGGCCTTGTTGGCCGGATCCGAACGGCATCTTTATATTCAGTGTCTAGAGACAAGTCAATCCCTGGCCAATATTGCCGAGAACTAAATCACTGGAAGAGTTTCCTCTTCGCATCGAATAACGATGGGCCTAATTAATCCAAGTAATCACGCCTTGCAGACCATAATTGCGAATCAGCCACTCCCACGAGTATACAGGGGCGGCACGTGTGGCAAGCCCCACCATCGACAAGGGCGGGACGACCTTAGCACGACCTGAAGCGCTTCAATTAAATGACGAGAGCTGGCAATTCCACGATATTCCGTGGACGTTGTCGAAGGGTGACGATAGCAACACTTCTTATCAGGTAATACCCAGCCTATGCCGAGCCTCTTTCCTAGGAGACGGACGATTTGGGAATATTTTGTCGGGTGATAAGATACGGGATCGCCAGGGATACCAACATTGACCTTTCACACATGCTGGTCACAGTTGTGTCGCGGGATGTCACATCCTCTGCAGGACGCTGAGTAGCGATTAGGCAGCAGAATTGACATGGGTTCATTCCAGAAAAAAGAGACGTTACGAAACATACGATAGGAGATGTGCGAAGAGCACCAACAACTCCAAGCCTCCAAGAATGATAAACCAACCGTAGGGAGGGGGATGATGCAAGATCCATGCAAGCGGCCTAAGTAATGCAACCTTCATCTAGAGAGAGAGTAAACACGCCAGTTCAGGAATTAGCTGCTGCTGCTCTAAGCCTATTGAATGCTCTGGCCTGCGTTGGCGCCAAGAGCTGAATTATCCCTATACCATCACCCCGTTCATCAAGACAACAATACTCAGATATGGCATCGTAAGGTGCAATATCATAGTGTTTGGAGTTACAAGACTTCTCCGAAATGACAGTCTTGGTCAGAGTAATAGTTCTTCCAAGCTAGCATGCTTCAATTGGGCTGTTCAGGTGAGTCTTTCATAGCTTTCCCTCCGAACCATCTCAAGATACACTACCTCAAGATATCGAGGTATCGAGGTCTCACCAGACAAAGGAGTTTATTAAAGCAGCAGCACCCAGCGAGTACTTTCAAAGGATTAGACTACTTCCTTGTTTATACTGCAGTACGTTGTGGATCTGGTCTTCGTTGCCATTAGTGGCTAGGCGTGCCATTTGGTTTATCACGTCAACCCTGACCACGATTGCGATAACGACGAGCAAATCAATAATCAACCCATCCCAATCCATCCCAACTCGGACCTATCTCGCAATTCTCAAGCCGCACGAGAACGATGCTGACCAAACAGAACGGTCCGCCCGTGTTTCTTGAGACAAATCCTTTTCGCTCAAACCAATCGGATGCCCAACATGATGCATAACATGCCGCAATGTTGTGATCCCACAGGGCGGGATTGCGGGCATTAGCACTACCCCCCGCCGAGGTTGAGGCATATAAAACCATGTCGCAGGTAATGTAAGTACCTGCATCCAGGCGAACCAGCTGTCCCATCTGGCTTGGTTGTTCTCCTCTCTGGTATTCTCGTTATTATCCTTGTGTCCTTTCCCGACCAGTCCAGTCCCTTCATCTGTTCATCGCCAAGATGAGTACTACTCAGGTCGGCATCACCGAAGCTGTGCTTCATTACAAGCCTCCTCATCCTCCGGTCGAGGAGTTTGAGCCTCCCAAGGATCGAGCCTTCTTTGCTGATCCCGAGAAGAAATCGTTACTGAGCGCCGTCACCAAGATCCGGAATTTGACTCCTTATATCGGAACCGAACTGGTCGGTATCCAGTTGAGCAAGCTCACGCCGGCTCAAAAGGATGATCTCGCTCTGCTAATTGCAGAGGTAAGAAAATACTCTTTGATGCTGCAAGCTGCAGCTCAAAGGGGAAGCAACATATCACTGACGTCGACCACCATAGAGAGGAGTTGTCTTCTTCCGAGACCAGGACATCACACTAGATGAACAGCACGAATTGGCCAAACACTATGGCATTGTAAGACAGCCGCAGAACGCGCCACAAGGCTGTATACTGACAAAGCATGCAGCAAGACCGAGACCCCAATCAACAAGATCCTCGTCATGTTACCATCCTAGGCAATAACAAGTGAGTAGATGCATATGAGCATGTCTCCTACGTATTCAAAACACACTGGCTTTAGAGTCATTGGTTGACCATACCGCGCCAATGCAGCGATGTTCGCGCATACCAAAACTTTTCATCTGAGTTCCACTCCGACCATTCCCAGGAAGTAAATCCTCCGTCGTACACTCTGCTACGGATGGTTCGAACACCCGAATCTGGAGGCGATACTATCTTTACAAGTCAGACGGCGCTGTACGATAAATTGAGCCCCAAGTATCAACAGTACCTGGAAGGATTGCACGGAGTGCATAGCTCCGAGGTAAGTCTCCAGAACTCTTGTCAAGGAGTTTAAGTGCTGCTGCTGACATGTTTCCTATAGCAAGGATTTATCAATTCCGTGAATAGCGGATACAAGCCATTCCGAGGACCTGTGCGACGAGAGCATCCACTCGTAAGTTCAATTTCAAAACCCCTGAGACTTTTTTCGGTCTGTGAATCGAGTGCGAAGAAGACAAATGACAAGACAAGACTTCATTTCCTATGGCGTTGATGAGAATTACTAACACCTTCCGCCTTGAAATTCTAGATCCGAACCCACCCTGTCACTAGACTCAAGTCACTGTTCTACAACCCGTCGTACGTCGTCCATATCTCCGAACTCAAGGGTCAGGAAGCGATCCACACTCTCAACTTTCTGCGCGAGCATCTGCACGCAGCCGACGACCTGACGGTGCGATGGAAGTGGGAGCCTGGCAGTGTCGCATTCTGGGACAACCGCGTCGTCGCCCACAAGGCTGTTCCGGGGGGTTACGACCCAACCCTGCGTGAGGGCAAACGTACCGCCGTCTATGGAGAGAAGCCTTTCTATGATCCAAATTCAGAGAGCTTGTCTCAACGGATCGCTCGTGTGGGGGGCGACCCGGCTAAGAATGAGATTATCAATCTTCATTTCAAAAGCCCACACGTTTGATGTACTGACTCTGTAGATATTGTCGGATATATCTCCTAGACTCCTAGTCTATAGATAGCACCAACCTTTCTAACCGGCTGCCGAGCAAACTATGCATCACGTGGATAGTAGGTTCCGCAACCCATTCTACTCAATTCATAGGGTTAGTACTAGGCATTTTGAGTCTCTCATGTTCCTGGCTCGAGAGATCTCGGTATCTACTGAGTGAGATAGATGTTTCATGTTACTATTCCACGCCACAGGGTAACGAAATGTCAATAGAAGTCGTCTCAACATCTTAGGCAGAATCTAACAAAGAGGCTGGACACTCGGTCGAAAACGATACATGTGCAGTACAGGTGAAGAGAACGTAAGTGTGGTAGAACTCATTGACAGTGAACTCTGGAGCTCGACTCGCAGTAAGAACTATAGAATCTAAATTGAGGCCTCATGTAGATAATGAATGACAATGAGACACGCTTCCCGAGTTACTTGGCCGACTGAGCGTGTGAAAGATTCCATTGGTTGATCGCTAGTACTTTATACCGTTGTCATTTGCGCGTAAGTGGTTTCGATCTGTCGAGTTGAAGAATGACCATATTGCTGTAAGGTTGGAGCTCGTTCATGTTCACAGCTCGACTACTGCACTGGCCTTGATCTCCACGATCATACGAGGATCTGGCAACTCCTTTACCCCAATCGTTGCTCTAGCTGGACCGTCAGCTCGTGTAGGGAAGACTTTATTCCATGCCTCGTTCATGCCCACATAGTCCGAATCTCTATCCAAGATGAAGACGGTAGCTTCGATGAGGTTCTTGATGCTCCCCTTGCCTCCTGTTGCAGACTTGATGATAGTGTCGATGTTGTCTAGTGCGGCAGCTGTCTGTTGGCGGATATCGAGGGTTAGAGTTCCATCCTTATTCTCCGTGACACCAGGCCATGTACCATCTGGCCTGTTGCAAGCGATGCCGGAAACGTACAGCACACGATGCGGCGTTTCTGGCGCGAAACGAGCCTCCGGATAATGGAAAAGCGGCTCCGGTGCATCTGGCTTTGCAACGTAGGCCTTGCCGTTTGGGGCCATTGTATGAGCTGATATACCTTTGCTGTCTGGTAAGGGGGTGATGACCAAGCATCATACGATATGGCACGACATCCATCTTATATAAATTTCCCCGGGCGATTATCGGTGCATCACTGTGGGTCATGGTGGTCTTCGGTGCAAATCCTGTGCAATCAAACATTGCGGCTTTTGTTAACATGCCACTTAGAGTATGTACACCGTGTTAGAATATGACTGGCGGATCCTCAAACCTTACCCACTGCTTTTTTCATAGGTCCATTGTTGTATGCGACTCAAACAGGTGTTCGTTGTGTGACTCGATGGCAAAAGGCTATTTGGAACCTCCATTGCCCCACCACTGCTCTGCCGGATTGAACGCATAGAAGACTTTCCTAAAACGGCAAGAAATGCCTCCCCCATCATCAATTGCTTACGTTTACCATGTTCTATCTTGTGATGGGTTTAGCTTCGATATCGTGCTCAGGTTTGTGACATTCCAGAGGTAATTTGTTTCTGCAATCTTGTCTTCCGGCGCGCGGCTGCGAGTTTTTGTGCCATGGAGTAGGAGGGTGGCGTCAAGGATTCACAAAAGCGCCAGAAAGAGTCTGCTTTCTCGAGGTGGCGCTCCTTGGGTGCGAATATGCCCATGAAGAAGACTTGAACCTTCAAGTGGACAAAAAGGTGGTTTTCCAGTGGCAGAATCTTGTCCACAATGTCGCATATACTGTCGGCGACCAGTGCAGCTGCTTCGTCCGTCTCTTTGACACTATCTGGGTGCAGATAGTCAAGGGCAACGTAGAAAGCTGCGTATCTCCACGCATCCTGTAACAGGAGCATCTCATTATCCGGGCTATGGCTGACCTTGAGCAGTTGAGTACACACGCGATGGTATGCCTGATGAGGGGCGGCTGTCATGTAACCCTGAGCAATCTCGACATAGAGCCTAAAGGTATCCTGCGGGCATCCCACGAGTTCGAAAAACGTCGAATCCATATCTCTGCGGTAAAAGTCATCGAAGATTAGATGCCGATCCCGATGAATCACGAGTCCCATGACATCGTACCATTGGAGCAATGATACGGCTTGCTTTAAGCCAGGTGTTGTTGAATACAACTGTGACAGTGCTTCAAAATCTTGACAATGAAGGTCAAGCAGTGCTTTCGCACCACATAGATGACGAGCCCACCTGCCGAACGGTCCCTCACGCACGTCGAGAAACGCCAATGTCGTCATTCCAAAGATCGCAAGAATATCGCTTTCTTGTACAGCTTGATTGAGTCCTTGCAGAGCCCTGGAATATAGCAGGTGCTTATTAAGTGCGTGGTGGGAGCCGCTTTCTCGCAGACGCAGACTGATGTGGTCCCATGCAAAGTGCCAGACGCCAGCAACACCTCCGGGGTCGTCAGGAGCAGCTCCAGCATGGGGATTTCGTGCGAGTCTTGCTTGGGCGTATTTCGAGGTAAAATAGTGCAGATAGTCGGCCAGGTTAGAGGTCCAATTAGGACTATCTTCGACGCTCGCCTGCGATGTAATTATAGAACTTGGAGAAATCTGTTCAACGCAAAGATCTGGGCTCGTGCTTGTTGCATCGACGCCTTCATCAATTCTCGACCCGGACACCCCCGGCGAAGCCACGATGTCATTATTCGACGTTGTCACTGCTGTTGAATCCGCGTTGGTAGGACTCCCTGCCCAGCGAACTCGTAGAGCAAATCCAGGGCAGATCAGGTTGTCACGACGACACTGGCCACACGAAGGTCGGTTGACGTCGCACTTGATTCCTCTGTCCTGACATGTGGAGCAGTCTCGGTCGCGTCGTATGCCCCTAGGCTTTCCCTTTCTGCGTTTTCCGCTCGCACTACGGGTATCGAGAGTCATAGCCAAGGTGGGTGGGTGGTGAAAGCACGGTAGATTGCTTTCCTGACGAGCAGGTGAAGCACGATTTGGTGACCCTGCGGAACCTCAATGAGGAAAGTTATCTAGAAGAAATCTCGCTCCCAATGTGACCTAATCGCGCCGGGCGCGGGGTGGCGAATCTCCTCTTATCTCGGAGATGCCGCTCCACGCGGCCTGATGTGAACTTTCCTAATTAGGCGGCTAGGTGCTCGCTTAGCACGAAACTAATAACTGTCTAAGTAGCGCCATTGACTTAGGGCTAGATCAACCACATTTGTCTCACTCGATAGACCGGTGCATAGCACTTAGTCCGGAGACGGAGACCTGGATATGACAGGAAACAAAATTGCAGGTAAAAGCTCACGACAGAGTCTTATCTTCCGGACTTGTCAACCGAGCATCAGCCTACCCCTTTGAAAGCTGGAGAAACCTGGAGGATGACGCTCGTGGAGTTTGCGACTATTTCAAAATTTCCAAAGTCACATTTGCAAGGTCTTCGAGGGTCCCTTGGGTTCATCATTGCCTCTCAGTTCGGTGCTATTATCAATTATATTGGGCTGACAAAAGTAGATTAAGGTATGAAAATGGTCAAAAAATCATTCACTGCCATAACGGATAAATATTTTCAACATCAAGAAGTATAGATACCTAATTAAAGGCAGAGCAAGGCTCTTTTCTCGGACGTTTTTAAGGTTGCTACCTTATTTCGGACTGATGTGAACCGCCGTCCCACCACCAGCCCTGTCCCACCTTCCATCTTCCTGACCAAAAGTACGTCCCTGCTCCCTTTGTGATTCCTCCAGCTAACAAGCCTGTTCCCGCTTCTCCCACAAACTGTGCAAAGTAGTTCTACCCTGAGTGATCTCGGCCCATTCCCGTTTCTCCAGGTTTTGCTCCGCATACTCCAGCATGTCAGGGCCTATCAAATTTGTCCTCCCCGCATCGATCAGGCGTGCCAGGAACACGACAGTGTGAGCGTCCAGTGCGGTTGGTCCAATCTCGTCGCCGAAGATCCAACTGCTGCTGGTCGCAGTCTTGTTGTGTTCTGCTCTCACTTTGGAAACTTTCTCTAGGTATGTCCGTGCCTTTTGCTGCTCTCGGTCAACTATCTCTGTCGAGTGCGGGTCGACTTGATATTTATTGCCGTAGCTGGTTTGGAAGTCAGTTCTGGCACCTTCCCATTCAACATTCCCACATACTTGTTGAGTTTCTTTTGTAGAGCTTCCTTGTAGCTCTCTGAGGTTGTTGGCCGAGCCATAATCTCTTTGATTTGGCGTACAATGCCGGCGCCACGGCCTTCCGCGGCGGTGAAAGAGAGGCTCACATACCACACATCATGAAGTTCATTCAGGAGTACAGTAATGACGTCTTTGTGAGTCTGAGGGATCAATCCGGGATATCTTTCCGCCAGATAGTAAGTAATATCCAAACTGTCGGTAATCTTTAGTTCGCCGGGACCGACCAAAACGGGGACCTGTTGAAAATCTACAATTTAGCCCAGTTGCTAGATGTCATAGTCATACCACAGTTCAATCGAACTTGACACGTACTTGACCTTTCCAATTCTTCTTGAGAAACTCCTCCTTGTTCTGGTCACCAATGTAAATATCGACCTCCTTTTCAATAGGATTGACAGCTTCGTTTGGCGATGCTGGGTCTCCTTTCCACCGAAAAGTCATCAGCGTCATGAGTGAGCATATCGAGAATTGATTGTAGTATAGCTCGAAAGAGCTGGAAGATGCCTTGTCGCTCGTCATTGCAGAAGTTCGCAGTTGAACGTTGCTGTCGGTTGTCCAAGTAATGGCCTACCTAGTGACATAATTATACAGTCCAACGCTTCAACGAGGGGTTTATGTGATTTCTAAATACCGATGCCCTGGCGGGGTGTCAATTAAGGTTCGATGTTGATTGAACCGCGGGGCAAGAGCGGGAAGTATTTCTCTGCTGTACCCAGAGGTTATACGGGGTTTCTATTCCTTTCGTAAATCAAAGCTATCCATTTGCTGGAAAGAGAAGCAGAATGTGACTGGAAAAATTTGATTCAGTGCTCTTTGAATCAACACTCGCTATCTATGGATACTGCTTGACTTTACGTCCTCTTGCTGGGACAACAGAATGCAACTAAGCGCTAACGTTCCTCGGCTCTCATCCTTTCGTCAGTGTAATATTACAACTGTTGCCCTTCGGAAACCCCCCAAAGAAATTCATCATATCCATATCATCAGGCGAACTCAGACAAAGTCGGGCACCAGCACATTCGCGGAAAAACAATGCCGTGGCCATTCGAAGTTCCATGTAGGCTAGATGCATACCCAGACAAACGCGTGCTCCGGCGCCGAAAGCGGCGAAAGCAGATCTCTGTTCCTGCAACGTATACTCCTTTTGAAGAAATCTCTCAGGGTCAAATCTGGTCAGTATTAGCCTATAGCCTAGTGGAAGCGACCAAAGATCGGACATGAGGGAAGACGTACCGTTCTGGGTCCGGAAAGATCTCCGGTTGTCGATGCATGCTATACGCTTGAGTGCAGACAGTGCTGCCTTGAGGAATGAAGTATCCGGCAATTGACAGGCCAGATGTTGGAACCACTCTCGGCAGGGCTCCAGGGATGGGACCATGCAGTCTGAGAGTCTCTTCGAGCACTGCATTAAGGTATGGGAGGGTTTCCAGGTCCGAGGCGACAAAATCATCAGAAAGAGTGGCAACCTCTTCTTCCAGCTTCTTCTGTACCAGCGATTGTTGCAGGACGGCCCAGACGAGATAGGTAAGAGTTACACTTGTCGTTCCTCCCCCAGCTCCCACCAATCCTGTTGCTTCAACAACCATGCTTTCTTTTGATATCGAGTTGGTCTGGTTCTCATCGGCTTCTATGTGGCTCGTGAACACATTCGTCCGGTCGATTGATCCTGTCCTGGCTCGGGCGAGGATTTCCTTACCATTTTTAATAATGATCTTTTCAGTTTTGTTGATGTCGAACATGAACCTTGGTGCCAGACAGATCAATCTGTAGATTGTGGGGAGTTCAGATCGAAGTATGCCAATCGGGGCAAACTTCTCAAACATCTGGATGAACTCTGATTTCTGCCAGACCTGGGTGTTAGCATTCGTTCTTGAGTTAATTTTGAGAACAGCCAACCTTGCCCAGTTCGAGCATTCCAAATGACTCTCCAAAGGCCACTTTGCCGATAATATCTGTCGC